TTGTGTGTTTGTATTTTTTGTATTTGTGTTTCTCTCTCTCTCTCTCTCTCTCTCTCTCTCTCTCTCTCTCTCTCTCTCTCTCTCTCTCTCTCTCTCTCTCTCTCTCTTCTCTCTCTCTCTCTCTCTCTTCTTTTCTTTTCTTTTCATTTATGTGCAGGTTTCTTTGCAATTTGTATGTGTGTTTCTTCGCATTTAGGTGTGTGTTTGTTTGTATTTGTATGTTTGTTTATATTTTTATGTATGTATTTTTATGTGTGTTTATTTATATTTTTTGTGTTTCTTTGTATTTTTATGTATGTATTTGTATGTGTTTATTTATTTTTTTTGTGTTTCTTTGTATTTGTTTGTTTCTTTCTATTTGTATGTGCGTTTCTTTGCATTTCACATTTGATATATGTGGCCCATAAGACACCTCACGACTATCACCTCATAGACTAGAAATACATTTTTCACTATAATCGCACGTACATCGCACACATTGCATCACATCATAAGATAATTAAGTTACGATATATGAAGATAAATATGATTAGATAATAATAATGACAAAGCTATATTAAGAAAAAAAAAAAACGATATATGAAGATAAATATGATTATATGACAAAGCTATATTAAGAAAAAAAATATATGAAAGATAAATATGATTATATGACAAAGCTATAAAGAACCAAATATTAAGATATATGAAGATAAATATGATTATAGACAAGCTAGAAAAAAAGATATATGAAGATAAATATGATTATATGACGGCGAATTTAAGAAAAAAAAAAAAAACAAGATTCTTAGACGTAAACAAAGAAAGCCAACGGCCATGGCAACGCCTTTCAAACGTCAAGATTTAATAGGCCTAATCGCTAATTGCATTAATTATGCACCGAAAGGGTCAGGGTGACGTAATCCAAAGGTCACACACAGATGACCCCACAGCTGACCCACCCATTATCTGGCCTTCCCCTCTCCCCTCTCTACTGCTCTTCCCCTATCTCTTCCCCTCTTTACTTGTCCCCTCCTATTCTCTTTCCGTCATACCTTCCACTCACTTCCCCTCAGCACCCCCCCCCCGTTTTTCCTAAGTGTTCCTCTCCTCCTTCCCCCTTAATCTCCCCCCCCTTCCCCTCTCCCTCTAGATCTCCTCCCCTCCCCCCCTAACTGCTCCTGGATTTCCACCCCCCCCCCCCCCCGCCTCACGGATTCCCTCCCTGACCTCACCCCCATCCCCTCTTCCCTAGTTACCTCCCTCCCCCCTCTCCCCCACCCCTTCCTTCCCCTTCGACCCGCTCTCCCCCCCACTTTCCTTCCGTCCCCTCCTTTCCAACCCCCCCCCTCCACCCTCCTCCACCCCCTCCCCCCCCCTCTCCCCTCCATCCTCGGCAATTTCCAAATCCTCTTCATGAGCTTAAGCTTCCCTTCCCCTCAAATCTACCCTTATATTCCCCTCATACTTAACCCTTAACTACGTCCCTGTTCTTCAAAACCCCTCTTGGAGAGATCCGAACCCCCCCCACCCCTCACCCCCACCCCCACCCTTCCTCTCTTTCTTTCTCCTCTTTCCCCTCTCGCTGTGGCGTATATCCCCTTTCGTTTTTTTTCTCTCTCTCTTATCCTTTTCTATTTCCTCTTTTTTCTTCTTCTTTCGTTTTCATCTTCCTCCCTTCTTCTCTTCTTTCTCCCACCCTCTCTCTTCCCTTTTTCCTTGTCCCTCTTCCCCCGCACTTTTGTTTCGCCATTTCCCCTTCCTTTTCCCCTCTCTACTCTCCATCCCCCTCCCTTTTCATTCTTCCTCTTCCCTCTCCCTCCCTTTCCTTTTTGTCTTGGTTATTCTCACTCTCTTTTCTTCCTTGACCTCTCTTCGACCTCTCCTTCTTCCCTCCCACCTTCTCTTCTCCTCCTTTCCAGTTTATCTCCGTCTTTTCCCTCCTCTCTATCACCTCTCCTTCGTTTCTTTCTCCTCTCCTCTCTAATCTCTCCTCCTCTTCTGAACCTTCTCATCCTACCCCTACCCCTACCCCTCTCCCCATATTCGTCGCTTCTCAACCTCTCTCCCACTTCCTCTTTTCCTTTTCTCCGCTCCTCTCTCACTTCCTTTTCCCTTTCTTATCTCTCTTCTTCTCCATTTTTCTACTTTCTCGCTTTCCCTCTTCTCCCCCAGTTCTCTCCTCCTGTCATATTTCCTCGCTTCTCTTCCTTTTCCTGCCCCCCCACCCCTCCTTTTTTTTTTTCTTTCTTTTTCTTTTTCCTGTCTCTTCTCTCACTTCTCTCTATTCTCTCCTTCCCTACTTTTTCTGTTCTTTCTTTCTCTTTTCTCCCTTTCCCTCTCCCCTCTCCAGCCTTCCCTTCATCCACTTTCTCCCTTCTCCCATCTCTTCTCCTTCCCTTCCCTCCCTTTTCTCTAGCTTTCCTCCATCCATCCCCTTCCACCCTTTCCCCTCTCCTCTCTCCCCTTCCCTCCCTCCCTCCCTCCTCTCTGACTTCACTCCACCCCCTCCTCCCCTCTCCCCTCTCCCATCTCTTTTCCTCCCTTACTCTGTCTCGTCTCAAGCCTTCCTCCACCCCTCCTCTCCCTCTCCACTACTTCTCCGTTTCCCTCCCACCTCTCTGACCTCCCTCTCCAATCCCTCCCCCTTCCCTCCTCCTCTCCAATCCTCCCCCTCTCCAATCCCTCCCCTTCCCTCCCTCCTCTCCAATCCATCCCCCTTCCCTCCCCCTCTCCAATCCCTCCCCCTCCCTCCCTCCTCTCTAACCATCCTCCTTCCCCTCTCCCCTCCCCCTTCCCTCCCTCCTCCCCCCTCCCTCCTCCCCAATCCCTCCCTCCTCTAACCATCCTCCTTCCTCCTCTCCCCTCCCCCTTTCTCCCCTCTCCACTTCCCTCATCTACGGCTAGCAAACGGATCTCCGTTTCCCCTCATTAAACACGAAAAGAAACCGCAGAGCAACGCAGTGAGAGATGAAAGAGAGGAGGAAGAGAGGGGAATCGGGGACGAGAAATGTGGGGAGGGGAGGGAGAGGAAAGAAAGGGAGAGGAGAGGAGAGAAAGAAGGAGAGGAGAGATGAGAGAGAGGGAGCAGGAGAGGAGAGAAAGGAGGGAAGGGAGGAGAGAAAGAGAGGGAGGAGAGATGAAGAGAAAGGAGGACAGAGAGGAGAGATGAGAGATGAGATGAAGAAAGGGAGAGGAAGAGAGAGAGATGAAGAGAAAGGGAGAGGAGAGGAGAGGAGAGAGAGAGAGAGGAGAGATCCAGTCCAGCACAGGATGTTCCCACCTTTTTTCCGTAGAGGAGAGGAGGAATCCCGAGGAGAGAGAGGAGCGAGGAGGAGAGGAGAGGAGAGAGAGAGAAATCTGGAGGAGAGGAGAGGCGAGGAGGAATCCAGAGGAGAGGAGAGGCGAGGAGAAATCTGGAGGAGAGGAGAGGAGAGGAGAAATCTGAGAGAAAAGAGTACATGCGTGGAGAAATCTGGAGAGCAGAGGAGAGGAGATACCTGGAGGAGAGGAGAGTAGACGCGAGAAATCTGAGAGAACAGTAGATGCGAGAAATCCTGAGAGGAGAAGAGAAATCTGGAGGAGAGGAAAAGGGAAATGAAGTTAAGAGAGAGGGGAGGCAAGCGAGAAGAGGAACGGATCCCCGAAGGATCGACAGAAGAAGGGAGAGGGAGAGGAAGGCATGAGGATCGACGGAAGAGGGGAGAGGGAGAGGAAGGGGAGGGAACAGGGTGAGAGTGGATTTCCCTCTCACTCGCACAGACGGCGAGTGAGAGGGTGATCGGCGAGGAAGCGGATGGTAGCCTCTTCCTCCTTCTTCTCTTTCTGTTTCTTTTTTTTCTACATCTTGTCATCTTCTGTTCTGATCCCTCTTCTCCTTCTCCTTCTTCTCTTTCTGTTTTTTTTTTTCTACATCTTGTCAATTCTTTTGCATCTTGTCATCTTCTGCTTCTGCTCCCTCTTCTCCTTCTCCTCCTTCTTCTCTCTACATCTTGTCATTTCTGCTTCTGCGTTTTTCCTTTTAATTTCCTTCTCCTTCTTTTCTTTTTCTCCTCCTTTTCCTTTTCCTTTTCCTTTCTCTTCTTTCTTCTTCTCCTTTTTCTTTTAATTTTCCTTCTTCTTCTTCTTCTTCTTCTTTTTCTCTTTCTTTTCTTCTTCTTCTTGTCATCATCTTCTGCTTCTGCTCAATCTCCTCCTTCTCCTCCTTTTTCTTTTTCTCCTCCTTTTCCTTCTCCCTCTTCCCCATCATTACTCCCAAATCAGCCTTCTCTTCACTTTCACTTTTTCTTCTCTCTTCTAATTCTCCTTTCGCCTCTCCTTTTTCTCTTTTCCCGTTTCCATAATCACACTGCACGTACTCTAATAAATAAATGAAACTGCATTTCCCAGTTACTTCAATTTCCAACTGTTAGTTTTTTTCCACTCCCTCTTTATAATTGCACTCATGGTAATACAAATCTGTGAATGTTGCATATGATATTGCTGCTAAAATTACATAAATCATTTAAACACCATTCCTGTAATAAATTATATTCTCAACACATTAAAAAAAAAAAACTACATGTACTCTAACACATACACATAAACGCACACACACCGGTACAAACATGTGCACATCCTTTCCCACACATGTCCGTATTCATACAAACACGTGTGGTATATACACTGTACAAACACACACACACACAAACACATACCAACTCTCTCACACCCATACACATAAATGCACACATACACCCATTCCTTCACATACACACACACATACACATAAATGCACACATACACCCATACACACATTCCTTCACACACACACACACATACACATAAATGCACACATACACCCATTCCTACACACACATTCCTTCACATACACCACACACACACACATACACATAAATGCACACATACACCCATTCCTACACACACATTCCTTCACACACACACACACACACACACATTCCTCCACACACACTCAAGGATAATCCACCTATTGTCACAGGCTCGCCAAGGTGGGACTGTGTTCACCCTCTCGGATTTTCTCGGATTTCCTCGTCGTTTCTCGTGGGCTGCGTCTTGACCGCTATCAGCACCTTGAGGAAGTGAGGCCCTTGAGGTGACGGTCGCATTCAGTCTTAAGCTGGGCTAAGGAGGAGGAGGATGAAGGCGTGAGCAGGAGATGAAAGGTAGGAGGAGGGAGGAAGGTGAAAGGAGGAGGGAGGAAGGTGGAGGAGGAGGAGGAAGGTGGAAGGAGGAGGATGGAGGAGGGAGAGAGGAAGGTAGGAGGAGGAGGAAAGGTGAAAGGAGGAGAGGAGAGGAAGGTAAGGAAGAGAGAGGAAAGAGGAGGAGGGAGGAAGGTGAAAGGAGGAGGGATGGGAGGAGTGAGAGAGGAAGGAAGGTGGAAGGAGGAGGAGGATGAAGGCGTGAGCAGGAGATGAAAGGTAGGAGGAGGGAGGAAGGTGGAAGGAGGAGGGATGGGAGGAGGGAGAGAGGAAGGTAAGAAGAGGGAGGAAGGTGAAAGGAGGAGGGATGGGAGGAGGGAGAGAGGAGGTAAGAAAGAGGGAGAAGGTGAAAGGAGGAGGATGGAGGAGGGAGAGAGGAAGGTAAGAAGAGGGGAAGGTGAAAGGAGGAGGGATGGAGGAGGGAGATGAAGGTAGGAGGAGGAGAGGGATGGGAGGAGGGAGAGGGGAAGGAAGGTGGAAGGAGGGGTGGAGAAGGAGGAGGGGAGGAGAGGTAGGAGGAGGATGGAGGGGGGAGGAAGGTGGAAGGAGGAGGGGTGAGAGGAGGTAGAGGAAGGAGAGGTGGAGATGAAAGGAAGTAGAAGGCGGTCTGAGGAAAATTAGAAAAGGAAGAAGAGAAATCGTGTGGAATCGACTTTAGAAGGAGGTGGAAGGAAGATGAAGGAAGAGGCGTAACGGAAGGAGGAGGAGGAGGATGGCGGAGAAAGAAGGAGGAATGGGGAAGATATACGAAGAGGAAGTAGGTAATGTCTCCCTAATTTTGAGAAGGAAGGAAGGAGGCGGGGCAGGAAAAGGAGGAGGTGGGAGGAAGAGGAAATGGGAGGTGGAGAGATGAGAGGATAAGTGAGGAAGGAGGGAGAATAGGGGAGAGGGAGAGAGAATTGAGATATGACAGGAGCTCTAAGGAGAAGGAAGGGGATCAAAAGAAAATGACAAAAAAGGGGAATAACACAATGGGAAGAAAAGGAAAAGGAAAAATAAAAAGGAAGGAAGAGGAACGACGCATCATAAAAAAAAAAAAAACAAAAAAAAAACGAAAATAAAAAAACAACAAAGAAAAAAAAAAGCAAAGAGGATAAAAACAAATCCCAAGAAACACGGAAGACGAAGACGAAGAACAAGACAAAAAAAAAGACGAAAAAAAAAGAAGATAAGACCCCAAGAGGAGGAGGAGGAGGAGGAAGCAGCCCGAGTCCCGAGCCCGAAGGGAGGGTAAAGTTTTCGAATTCCTTGACTGAGGTATGGCTTCGGGTATGTCACTCGACCGACAAACTTTGGCCCGGCAAGAAAAATCCGAAGGAAGTCACGTGGAACCTTAAGAAAAAAGAGACGATAAAAAAAAAGGACGGAAACTCGTAGATGTAAGACGCGGATAGGCCTGTGGGTTCCGTGGAGTAAGACTGGATAGGCCTGTGGGTTCCGTGGCTTTTTGTAGATGTAAGACGCGGGATGAAGACGCGGATAGGCCTGTGGGTTCCGTGGCTTTTTGTAGATGTAAGACGCGGAAGACGCGGATAGGCCTGGTGGTTCCGTGGTTTTGTAGATGTAAGACGCGGGATGAAGATGCGGATAGGCCTGTGGTTTCCGTGGCTTTGTGTAGATGTAGACGGGATAGGCCTGTGGGTTTCCGTGGCTTTTTGTAGATGTAAGAGGCGGGATGAAGACGCGGATAGGCCTGTGGGTTCCGTGGCTTTTTGTAGATGTAAGACGCGGGATGAAGACGCGGATAGGCCTGTGGGTTCCGTGGCTTTTTTGTGATGTATGTAGGCCTGTGGGTTCCGTGGCTTTTTGTAGATGTAAGACGCGGGAAAGACGCGGGATAGGCCTGTGGGTTCCGTGGCTTTTTGTAGATGTAAGAGCGGGAATGAAGATAGGCCTGTGGGTTCCGTGGCTTTTTGTAGATGTAAGAGGGATGAAGACGTGGATAGGCCTGTGGGTTTCCGTGGCTTTTTTGTAGATGTAAGACGCGGAATAGGCCTGTGGGTTCCGTGGCTTTTTGTAGTATGTAAGACGCGGGATGAAGACGTGGATAGGCCTGTGGGTTCCGTGGCTTTTTTGTAGATGTAAGACGCGGGATGAAGACGGGATAGGCCTGTGGGTTCCGTGGCTTTTTGTTAGATGTAAGACGCGGATAGGCCTGTGGGTTCCGTGGCTTCGTGGATAGGCCTGTGGGTTCCGTGGCTTTTTGTAGATGTAAGACGTGGATAGGCCTGTGGGTTCCGTGGCTTTTTGTAGATGTAAGACGCGGGATGAAGACGCGGATAGGCCTGTGGGTTCCGTGGCT